CTCTGTTTAGGGAACGGACAGAAAAACAGGCGCAAGTTGCGGTAAAGGCCTAAAAAGTTCCCTTGACAACATCTGAAAGACATTTAAATCGTCGACTGACCATGCTTAATCTTACTTCCTGCTCAGTTCCTCTTGAAGATGCATAATTTCGTAGATCGAATGCATGAACTTTAGCCGTAATTTTATTTGTTCTTTTCAGGCTTCCCATCGTCCAAGGCGGCACCTTCTCGTTTCTTACACCTACTTTCGCTATTCTAAGTCTTCCTCAGTGGAAATGTCCCTCCCCTCCCTCAACAGCAATACCACCTACAGGTAACATTTAAAATCGTCTTGTTGTTATAACTACGAGCAGTTTCTCATGAATACGGTAGCAGAAGCCAGCAAGTGACACGACCGTTATCGTGCTTTACTATTGGGCCCGGTCAAGTTAGAACCTGCTTGTTGGCCATCTGTTGTTCAGCTCGATGTTAATGAATCAGTCGACAATTCCTGAAATCCATCCCGTAGTTGTTTTTGGTTTTGGTCTTGCTACAATACAAAAGCTTTGCATGTGAAGCTTGCTTTAATTCAATTTTCTTCCGGCTCAGTCTTGAAACTCAATTAACGTTATTCAGAAGCTTTCAGAGACTGACTTAATTTTAACTTGATCAAAGCGGTATGTCCCTTCCATAAAAGGTTTTTTGCCTTTAGTTGGCTTTGAAATATAGGACCAGTAGATGCGTAACAAAAATCACCATCAAAAGAGAAATCATTTTTAATTTTTTTTGGTTAGGAGGGGTCAATTTAAGTACCACAGCCTCACTCTTGAACATCACCACAACTACACCAAGTCCATCTACCCTTGACTACACTAACGTATGGAAACCACGAATGAGAGAGGTAATTTGAGTTATATTCATTGGTAACTTCCATAACTTTCAACACTTCACGGTTAGTTTGCATTGTTTTGCTATCAATAAATCTTTCTCATTTGTTCCTTTGATTGACTTTATAGATCCAAGGAGCTATCATGATGGCATCACTGTTTCAGATCTTTATCGGCTTCACCGGTTTAGTGGGGTTTCTACTTCGTTTTATTGGACCGCTTACCATTGCTCCAACCATAACTTTAGTTGGATTGGCTTTGTTTCAAGCTGCAGCAGATTTCTCGGGTGAGTGTCAATATCTCATAATCATACTTTTATACGAATGTTTTAAAGTGCGCTCTTTTGCAACATGATGGTTTTTC